TGAATTCCTGATATACGGTAGTTTCACTAATAAAACCGAGCAGGTGCACCATACGGACACATTCACACTGTCAATAAGCACGTTTAGCGAAAACCACGAACGTGCAAGCAACATCCGCCAGCGTTAAGAAATCCTGAGCACATTCACGGTGTCATCCCTGATGCCGTCACGGCGGCGTCTCCTGTGTCTCTATCTGTCGCTGGATGCTTCTGAAGCCGGACGGACGTAGAGGCGCTAGAAACAGAGCCGGACAGCGGCCGTCATCCACCGTCTCAGGATCCAGAGTGCCATGATCCCGATGCGCAGGCGCACCACAATGATAACAACAAGCAAACCGCCCACAAGCGGAGAAAATGGCAAAACGGGCCTCCTCGGCTTCGCAACACCACTCTTTCCTGCCGACCGCTGGAGAAGGGCCTGCGGCCCTGCACCCTCTCCCCAGTGCCGGGCGGGGGAAAGCGCAGCACTCCTTCGCCGTGCCAAGGTTGGCGCGGGGCGCGAGGACTCTTCACTCGGACGGATCTCGCCTCACAGTAGGGAGTGTTCGTGGATCGTTTTTCGCCGTCCCGCAACGCTCTCCGCAACACGCTAGGATAACCGGAGCTCTACAGTCAAGGCCATCGGCACGAAAGCGCAGTAGCGGCTTCTTCGTTGCGGAGGGGGAAACCCGGTCTACGAAAGCTCCCTAATAAGACCGAGCGGACAGGATTGCGTTCGCTTCCCAACGCGGCTCGGCCCGCGCCTCGACAGTTCTAGACATGGGGCAGTCGCTCCCCGTCGCCACGTTGGCGACCGGACATCCAGGCGGCGGCAAACGGGCCCTATGACCCCACACCCAGGATTGCCACTGTTTCTTTTTTTAAGTACATTGCCTTTTCCAACTACACCGCCCGATTCAAAAATAGCCAAGTGGTTTATGTGACGCATATATCCTGAAGAGTCACGTGACCTCTGCTGCAAACCCTTTAATGCGATTTTGATAGGTGGTGTGGTTTCACGGACAGGATTAGGACAGACCCCACAGGCCTCTCAAAAAGCTATGATGGGTCTCCAACACCCTTTAGAAATTCCTAAAGGGTACGTCAGGCCCATCACAATATATTGGCGGAAGTCTCAAACACATCAAACATCTTTGAAGGGTATCTCATAACGTTTCAGAAATCCTGGTAGGCCACATAGACGGATTTTCAATAGGGAGGGGGGGTGACTAAGGAGATGGAAGGGTGGGGAGAAGAGGGAGCAGGAAGATTGAGGGGAGGAGAGGAAGCTGGGGAGGGGGAGATACTACTGTGGGAAGGTGAGGAAGAACATTGAAAGAGGCGGAGAGGGAAATGACGAGAGTAATGAGGAGATGGAATTGGAGAGTAAGCTTGAAGCATATTTCCGTCCTAAATTTAGCGGGGTAACAGAATTGGTGTCACATGGTAAATGAGGGTTAGATAGGGAGGGAAGGCTTCGTAGGGAAATGGGGAAGGAATATAGAAAAGGGAAGGGGCGGGGGGGCGAGGTAGGGAATTGGAAGTACGTGGGGAGGAAGAGGGGAGGCATGGGGAGGACACCCTACGTGCTAAAACGTCTATATTTGGTGAAGGTTCAGGAATTCAGAGCAAGCTCCTCCCACCTCTTTCCATCTTAGCAGAGAGAACGCTGAAAAGGAGGCTGTCTCCTCACCAGCGTTCGCTCTGTTAAAGTGAAGAGAGGTGTGTGGAGCTTCCCCTGAACTCTTAACCTGTCACCGACTAGAGGGTCTAATACTATAGGGTTCTCAATGAGGTGTTGCAAGGAGAGAGGGCAGGGAAGTGGAGGGGGAAAGGGATTTGGTGAGGAAAATGGTATCACGTGACATATTTTCCCCCCGCTAAATATCGCGGGGAAAACTGGATTGGTGCCTATAGGTCACGTAATGACAATTTCCCCGCTATATATAGAGCGGAAACTGAATTGATGTATAGGTAACAAGACGTGATTTTTCTCACTAAACTTAGCGGCACAACTAAATTGGAGTATACGTCACTTGCTGTCGATTTCCCCAAGGTATATAGGTCACGTAATGTCACTTTCCCCACTAAATCAAGCGTAAAATGCACGAACGGACGGACGGACGGACGGATGAACGAATTGAAAGACAAAAGTATGGGGTTAAGGGGCTCTGTTATAATGCATTTCATGCTTTAAAACTTTTATGTAATCATTCAAGAGGACCTTTGCAGGACGTGAACCTAATGACCGGTTTGCACTTACATCGCAGCGCTAAATATACAAGGAACAGCGCTCATGCAGCTCTGACTTAAAGGAACTATAAAATTAATCCTGCGCTGGAATAAATTATTCTGAGTATAGATTTTACTAGTTGCATATCACTTAATTGGTTAAAAAATAGTACACGAGGGTAGGGAAGGAGAATCCGGATTTTTCGTACGAAATCTTGAAAATGTGGCGCGCTATTTCCCATTCTGTCTTCTTTGAAAGCTCTCCGCCCTTTCATTGTGCTACATTCGCAGTACCCAGCACGTGAAACAAACCCAGCTGACGTATTGGACACGTGCACTGCATCACTCGGACGTGCGCGTTCGTCAATATCCAATCTGTCGACGAATATTTGGATCCGCATTCGTGGCACATGAATGCCGTGACGGCTCTTATCATCACTTATGAATGACAAGTTCCATGATGTGTTTAAAAAGCACATTGGAAGTTCGGAGCCATCGCATTCCCAAACCAACACCATCTATGTTAACAATTTGGCATTACTACAGTTTACGTCGACGAAAGAAAAATTAATCAGGCTGGCCAGTCGTAAAAGGCATACAACGTCGGTAAGAATGCCGGGATGCTGTCGCTAGAGCTCAATAGTTATCGACGATCGCATCAGACTCAAGGAACACGGAGGGCCATCCCAGCCGACCATCAGGCGGCTCGACCTTCCGGTTCCGCTGAGATACATCGCTCGGATTACATTATTGTTTATTTATCTTTAGAGTAGAGGAGGAAAGCCAAAGAGAAAGAAATAAAATTGGCAGCGACTTTTAGCTTTAAGGTACTATAATGCAGGAAATTCATTAGAGGCAATTGATGACGGAATCAGAGAATAAAGTGGTGTTTCAGGTGACGTATATTTTCCCGCCAAATATAGCGGGGAAACTGAAACGATTGTAGAGGTCATATAACGTCAATTTTCCCCACTAGATTTAGCGGGAAACTGGATTGGTGTCGGGTTCGCAAGACATAAATTTTCACGCTAAATTGAACGGATATCTGAATTGGCCTAAAGGTCACGTGACGTCCATTACCCTCTAAATTTAGCGGGGAAATTTAATTGATGTTCTAGCCACAAGGCATGAATTTTCTCGCTCGATTTAGTAATGGAACTCAGTTCAAGTATAGGTGACGTGCCGTCAATTTTCCTTAGGCGTATAGGTCACGTGACGTCGCGTGACGTCACTATCTCCGTTAAATTTAGCGGAAAATTCACGGAGGAAAGGACAGGCGGACGAACAAAATTTTGGGATTGGGGGTAGCGCTAGAATGCATTTCATCCTTCAAAAAACATTTCATGGTTCCTTTAAACCCAACCTAGCACCGGTGCCGGGCTGTATCGATTCTGTAGCAATACTAAACGATGAATTCAGCGCTGTAACATCAAGGTCCAGCGCTATTTCCAGCACTGACAAATAGCGCTGAGGTAGCGCTTGCTCTCTGTGCGAACAGGCCGTTCAGCTAGATTTTCAGTGATGCAACGCCTGAGAAGAAAGCAAGGTAAATAAAACAAGATGGCGGAGAGTTTACCCTGTTCCTTGCAGAGTTTGCGCGGTGTGACAACGACTCTCCGACTGTGAGAGGAGAGGACCGCCGATGTGTGTTTTGAGCGAAAAGGAGGTGTTCCCGAGACACTTGATTTTACGTCAATGTGACCTTGTTGCCCAAAACATGTTTCCCGTGTGTGGACGGACTAAGCTGTCCAACAGTTTTCTCATTGTGGCAGAGCCTTTCGTGAATACTGCGAACACATCGACACCTGCCCTTGTTGAGTACATGCTCAGCACGGTTACGGTGGCGTTCATTTTGCCGCTGTGGAGGCGTCCTCGGCGTTTCCTTTCCTCTCTGGACGTGCTTCTAAGGCTGGGCGGACCCAGAGTCGTGAGAAACGTAGCGCTGGTGTACCTGCTCACGGACCTGAGTCATACACCGAGTGTCCCAGTTATCTATGCCAAGATTGTGTTTTGGTCTGGGAATGTAAGCCCCTAAAAAGCCCATAAACCCAAAGTAGATTCAAACGACTATTCTTGGCCAGAGTCTGTTTATCTCTGCCTTAATTCGCCGAAGTGTCAATGTTACATTTCACTGGTGATGGTTGGCCTGTCATCTGGCATCTTTGGGCTTAAAGCAACAAACAGGTGGCAGGCAGCCAGAGTTGGGCTTCACTTCTGTTTGTACGGTTTTTACATATGACATCTTTGGTCATATAAAGCCAAAGAAGTTACCGATTTAGGCTTCGTTGCTGGTTCCTCGTTTCATACGTGCCATATTTCGATCGAGTCTGGGCACTTTGGTGATCAAGTGGCCAACCGGAGAAAAGCCATAAAAAAACCAAAAAAAAGTACTTTGGTGCTAAGTTACGCTTTGGAGCGAAACCTTATTAGACCTAAGTAAAGTAATTAGGATTACCAAAGTTGTGTCAAGTCAGGCGTTTTTGTATGCGTGCTACCTAGAACTGGACAGATTAGTTCTCTCTGGATAATGAATCCTAAGCGTGACCCAAAATAAGCGAACGCGAGTCTCAGCCGAATGTTACTGCAGGACCAGTGTCTAATCAATGCACTGTGTTGGTCCTTCGTTATACCCTCCAATGAGGTGTTGTAACTACGCTGTGTTGATAACTCAACAATGCGCCGCCACAACCTTCCTTCGTGTCCAAGCTTGAAACAGAACAAATCAAAATTTCCGAGCGTTCATCATTTCACTTTTCTTCTTGCTGGAGTGTGAATAAGAAATTTCCATCGCACCGAGGTACGGTAATTTTAATCAAAACGCATAAAGTTCAAAAGTATTATTTCATGCAATTCTCGGTAGCCAAAGTGTTTTTTTTTAAATGATTACCCAATATCTTTGATTGTTTTGAGATTTTCTTTGAATTATCCGAAGGGGACAACACAGCTTCGTTGGTACACTCTTAACAAAACAAAGTAAAACATCAGGATTTTATAATGAATATAGAGTAAATATATGCATTTATATACATTACATCCTCTACATAATAAATGCTGCACTGCAAAAGATTTTTGTTATCAACCTTTCGCCAGCACAAATATACTTTCGAGTAGCGCCCTCAAAAACAGCATTTTCAAGATGGCGTTAATTTGGCCATCTTAGAAAAGAAAATATGTCTGTGCAAGAGCAATGTGGTCAGACGGAGGAACAGTGAGGTGCACCCTCTTCTCCTCGCCATCTTCCTCTTTGATCCATTCCACAAGATACTTCTCGGGGTGAACTGCAAACAAAATGAAATATGAGAGCAACTTATAAATTCTATAAATAAAGAAGCGATGTGAAAGACAAGAATTCAGAAAAATCTACTGCGTGAATAGTTTTGTTTAGTCTGTGTGCTCGCGAATGTGAATGATAACACTATTGTGTATTTATAAAAATTCAACTTATTCACCCCAGTGAAAAACAGAATAGTAGAGGGCCTTACATCTGCAACTAAACAGTTTCTGTTGAAAGGTACCTACCCGCGAACGGTTAGGTGTTTCATGCTGTCTTTACAATGTTGAAATGAGATTATGTTAGGAAAATGATCGCGCACGCTGTGACATAGAGTTCTTTACTATATGGTATAACTCTCCTTGCAGTGCATTTATTGTTTTGGCAAGCGATAATTGTTTATGGAAGTGTATTTTGCGGAGTATTGCACTCGACAGGGCCGAGGTCTCTAGCTCTTGCATTTTTAAAGAATTGCACCTGCCGTATTTTCGGGGACTATATAGAGAGACTGTAGTACTTCTAAAGTTTTGAAATTTATATGTTATTACTCCGTCCGTTGAAGGTGGCCCAATGAGACAATCACTTCGATTTATCATACAGGGAATCAGAACAAAATGTGGTGAACGTACGAGGATCTCTTAAGTGACTCATACTTTTAATAGCATGCCAGAATCATCACTTGCTGTCACATCGAGGCTAAACCTTCAAAAAGCACGACAAAATTTAGATCAGTGATGTTTGACCGGTAAGCGATTGCTATTTCTTCCTAAAGATACATAGTTCTCCAGGATATACTTTCTATTGTTCTGTGGTTTTGATGTCCTTTTGTTACTTAAATATATAATTTCGGCGGGATAAGAAGATTTCATATTTTTATTACGTACTAAATTTACCATTAGACGGGCCGAGCCACGTACTCAAGCCCCCGAGGCTTACATTGGATCGCTATTGTTCTTCTTAAAAATGTGTCTCTTGCAATATATATATATATATATATATATATATATATATATATATATATATATATATATATATATATATATATATATGCACAGAAGTACTTGAAAGGGATGGTGAACCGAACATTTCAGTTTCTATAATAAGCGGCCTACTATCTTTGCACGAGTCACCAGCCCCTGGTGTGCGCGAGCACACGGAACAAGATTGACGTCATCATTTCCCCCATACACGCTTAATAAGCTCGAATGGGGAATATGTTGACGTCAATTTCGCTGCGTGTGCTCGCGCACCTCGGCAGTTGCTGACTCATGGAAAGATATTGCGCCGCTTATTATAGACACTGAAATGTTTGGTTCAACATCCCTTTAATAGGGGGCTTACACCGGTCCCAATACTTTCATGCCCCTTTAGTTCAAAGTCATAGGAACGGCAAAAACAAACTGTCATATATTTTGTTGTTTCCAAGAATTATTCTGAATATTAATCTACTATAAAATGACAGTGTGTTATATGTTTCTCGTCGCACTATCTCCTTGCTATGTTGTGTCGAGGCCACCTTCGATGGTTCCGGGCACTGAAGAAAAAAACAGCGTCGCCGAGTTGGTTCCATGCTCGCCTTTATTTTTGTGGTACCGGGCTCTAACCCGTTAGACGTCAAAATTTTTAGTACTTAATGTGTACGTGCTTCAGAAAAGTTTCACTCTGGTCTAGTATGAACATTCAAAACACGAGCTTTGCGGCTAGGTTCTGGTTATCAGATGATTGTCAACCTCCACACCGGCGTTGTTTAAACTAAACTAGATTCTTTTATTCACTACCTTACCTCAATAAATAATGTTGTTAATCGGCTACCTTCATAATTTACCTTTGGAAACACTTAGTTGCGGTTATGGTCTCGCTATCAATGTTAAAGACGCCGCGCCACGATACTTAGTAAGAATGTTTCGTACTTTGCAGAAGCTCACCGACACAACTGGAACCCAAGTATATTGTTACGGATCGCTTTTTTTGTTGCTGCCACTTCGTCCTTCTCCCGTCTACCACGCTTTTTTTCTACCCTTTCGTCCCGCTCGTTGCACCTCAATGGCCTACTGTCAAACTCTCCCCGCTCCTGGTTGACTGTCCGTCCTCGGCAGTCTGTCACCCATGCTGGTCTTGACTGCATGTCTGTCTTGACACTTACAGCTTCAGTTCACTGCGGTGATCCGGGAAGGTCCGGGATGCTTCTCGATGTGCATTGAGGTCTCGTAGCCGGTAGCTCATGAGTCCTGTTTGTCGAAGCACTTCGCAGGGTTCTTTTGTACTTTGGAAGTAGCTTGGTTGCTTTTCCTTTTCTTCTAACGGGACGGCGTAAAAGAACAAGGTCTCCTGGCACGATGGGGGATATTTGGTCGTCCTGTCGGTGATTGGTTAGCATCCGCTGCTGGGCTCTGGTCATTGCGACGCGAGCTCGGTGGCGAGCCTCATTGAGTCTGCCCTCAAAATGATCGCTCATTTCTTGCCTTCTACGGTTCCATGTGGTGGATAGCGTTGATTCCTGCGGCAGAACCGTAGTTCTACCGTACACCAGTTAAAAACTTGCGGTGGCTTAGCTCGGCTATGCCAGGATATACGTAGCGTGAGCTTATGCGCACAAAATGAGAGGCGCTATCAAGCGGCTCCGGTGCAGCGTCAGACTTGGCTACTGCCCAACGGAGGCGCACAGCCGGGCACGCAGCGGCGCCAGTGCGTTTACCGCGTCTATGACGTCACTCCTCTGGAATGCGCAGACCGGCGAGGCGGGCGCGGCGGCGGCGGAGCGCGTAGCGGCGGCGGCTCCGGCGCGCCAGCTGTGCGCCGTGTGACGTCACTGCTTCTTGCGCATGCGCAGCACGGAGCACGGAGCACGGCTCATTATGCGAGCCTTGCGAAACTGCTCAACCTCGGTTAGTGTAGCTCACGCTACAAAAGGGGTCGTCATGGTACTTGTTTGTTGCGGCGTGTTTAAAGCGAACGATGCATGTGGTACGTACACATCCCAATGGTCATGTGAAGCATTAAGATAAGCGTACAATATATCGGCGACAGTTCGATCAGCACGCTCGACGAGTCCGTTGGTTTGGGGATGCTAGGGTGCTGACTGGGCGTGGGGTATTCCATGAGTTACCGTCTCGTGTTTAAAAATTCGAGAGCTGAGTTCGCCGGTTAATGAGTACGGTGGGGGACACGCCGTGGCGAACTACGATGTGCTAACTCCACAATGTGATTCGCTCACCGTTGTAGGCAGGGCACGTAGTTCAATCCACTTGGTAAGGTGGTCAACAACAACAATAATAAAACGGTTATCCTTTTGTGATTTCGGAAATGCCCCTAAATGATCAAGTCCAATAGGTTCGAAAGCAGCTTGAGGTGGTTGAATCAGATGAATCTTGGTGAAAGGTGAAATACTGGGCAATTTCCTCCTTTGACATGATTCACAGGAAGCGACATACCTGAAACATATCTCCGGAATCCGTGCCGAAAATAGAGCTCGGAAAGTTTGGCCAGGGCCTTATCTCGACCTAGGGGACCCGCTGTGAGGTCATCGTGGAAGAGATTCAACACGGTAGCCCTCAGACAAGATGGAATCACCGGTAACCATTGTTGTTGACCGGAATTGCTGTGACAGAGTAGGCCATTTTCCACTCGTTATGCTCGAAGCAGTCGCCGTAAAATGTGTGTCGAAACTGGTAATGCCAGGTGCTGTACGATATCTTGTACTTCGTTAACTTGACATTGACTGTGACGTAGGTCGGAATTCGCGCCACAAAAACAAGTGTCAAACTCCCGAGCCTCAGGGACAGTGTCTAGTCGGTTGCGGGATAGATAGTCAGCGCCCTGATGACTACGTCCGCTACGACGTAGTCATCCGCCCAGCGTGCCAGTTTTGCCGTCAAGTCTCGTTTGCTCTGAAGCCAGGTCAATGCTGAATTATTTGTCACAACACAAAAATGGTGACCATAAAGGTAAGGGCGAAATTTCTGCACCGACCAGACAAGGGCCGAACATTCTAATCCAGATGGATGATTCTTCTCTTCTTGTTGTGTAAGCCGGCGACTTGCGTACGAATTACTCTTTGAGTACCGTCTGCAAATTCGTGAAGTAGTACAGCTCCAATTCCTTGCCCGCTAGCATCCGTGTGGAGAATTGTCTTTGACAAGGACGGGTCGAAGTGAGCAAGCACTGGGCCGTTTAGAAGGGCTTTCTTTAGGTCTTGAAACCAGGACTGCTCTTCGTTGCCCCATCGCCATGGTACGTTTTTCCGGAGTAAGTAATTCAAGGGGGCAGCGCGGGTAGCAAATTTAACAATAAAATGGTGGAAATATGACGCAAATTCCAAAAAGCTTCTGACGTCTTTGATAGTTGTTAGCGTCAAATATTCAAACAAAACCTCAAGCTTCGAGGGATCAGGTTTAACGCCGTTTTTGTTTACCACATGTCCTAAGTATCTGATCTCAATGAAGCCAAAAAAACACTTTTGAGGCTTCAGACGAAGGTTGGCATCACTTGTGGCTTCAAGTACGAGTGAGAACCCTCGAAGATGTTCTTCAAAAGTGTTTGTGTAGATAACAACGTCGTCCAAATACACCAGCGTCATTGTCCACTTCAGATTGCCCAAAACTTGGTCCATCAGTTTTTGAAATGTCGCTGGGGGATTGCAAACGCCAAAGGGAAGACGGTTGAATTTGTAGAGACCATCTGGTGTGATGAAGGCTGCTTTTCAGCGTCCCTTTTATCGAGTGGCACCTGCCAGTATCCCGACATCAAATCCAATGTTGTGGAGTATTCCGCTCCTTGCAGTCGGTCAAGGGTGTCATCAAGACGTGGAAGAGGGTAGACATCGAGCTTGGTTGTGCTATTAAGCTTCCTGTAATCTACACAAAACCGCACAGTGCCATCTTTCTTGCTAACACCACTGGTGATGACGATGGACTCGTTAATGGACTTGCCACACCGTGCTCGAGCATCTCAGTCACTTGCTGTTTGATGGTTTCACGCTCTGTTGGAGCTATTGGTCGGCTGTCACCGGTGCCAATGGTACGTGTTGCATACGGTGAGCATCCAAGTTCGTCCGGACTTGGGGCGATGCAGTGTCGATGTGACAACACTACCCTCTTGATTTTCTTTTTCTGCTCGCAACTCAATTCTGGTCCAAACTTAAATTGTTCGCACGGTAAACAATTATCCTGACTGTAAAAATGACACTCGTTATCTGACTCTATAGAAATACTCGCAAGTGTACTCCAACCTTCGCCAACGGTTGGAGTACACCAATCTGTTTCCCTGGATTGAGAGTGATGTCTTCGGTTCCTAGATTAACGACAAGAGCGACGAATTCTCCATTGGTACAAGCCACGAGTGTCCGGGGTGCAGCTAGTTCCTTTCCTGGTTTAGCACAGAGCTACGAGTCCAAAACAGCTTCACCGTAAACCTTTTTATTGTTTACAGTCAGGCGTTTCATTGAAGCAGTCTCGGCAGCTATTGTAGTAGAGTCTTTAACGCATAGGTTTAAGTCATCCGAGAGCGGTACTTGAGCACATATGATGTTGGTATATTGGGAGAAAAACTTTAGAAATAGGTGCCACTCTTCCACAGCGACGAGAGAAAACGAGCGAACGAGGCACACAAGCAACACTAAAATACTTTTGCATCGTGGAATGCTAGCGTCTGTTTCCACGGGTGGATGGGGAGTTTTGGTGGCCTTGTTTTGTTCGTGGTTCAGCTTAAAAAATCAGTTTTTCTGGAACCACTCATAACCCAGAATGACTAGAGAGACAGAATTCGACAAAATTATGAAGTCCACTAACGACGTCTCACCGAGCGTAGTGACCAGTAACTTCCCTTGTCTGCCGGTGAGAACTTTGACGCCGTTGGCTGTGAAAAGTTTTGGAACAATCCGGGAAACATTACAATCAGCTGGTACAAGCGTCGCGTCGATTATTTTATCCCCTGCTCCAGTATCGAGGAGGCTTTCTTGGGTCTTAACCCCTTGAATCTCCACTTGGGTAGTTGGACGACCAGTAAAACTCCTTGAAAGAGAGACGAGGGGGACTTGGTCTTTTATGCCCGGTCCCGCCCCTGTGGATCGGGATATGCGTATCCCGAAGCATCGTAACACTCTGCAGCCATGTGTCCTCGTCGTCCGTATTGAAAACAGCGCCTATTAGTGTTAACGCGTTAGTGACCTTCAGGTTATTGGCGTGCTCCAGGCGTCTCCAGATGAGTAGTTGGCTGTAACTGTGCCGGGCAAGAAGCCTGGGCGTTTGCGGTTGCCTTTTGGATGGCTGAGATTTCTAACGCCTTAGTGAAAGCCTCTCGAACAATCTTTGGCCCTCCAAGTCGAACAAATTTTTGAACTTCATTGTCCGCAATGGCGTCGACGAAGGCAGTAGTGCTGAGAAGGTGAAAAGATGTCGGCGGCAAATCCCACATATGATTTTCGAGGTAGGCACTCAACTTTTGTTGCCAAGACTTGGAGTGTTTTTCCCGGCTGTTGTCGACGGCAACGTAACTCGCCATAGCGGATGCGTTGTGGATGTTTATCGCCAAAGCGGTCTTCAAGTGCCGCTACCAACGTTTGGTAGGTTAGAGCTCTTGCTTGAAGTCGGGCCAATATCGCGATGGCTGGTCCCTGTAGTTGTGCCGCAAGAGCGTGAGTTGTTTCATCTTCGGACCATTGGTTTGCTTGAGCAACAATGTTAGCTTGCTCGAGGTAAAGGTGAAGTGGCACGCTACCATCGAAAAGCTTCAGTTTCAAACGAAGGGGATCCGAGGTGGCCGAAAATGTGCGTACCGTTACTGAGTCGGTCCGATTCTCCGAGTCTCTCCTTTCCTCCAACGTTATGATTCTTTGTCGAAGGTTTTCTTGCGCAGACGCAACGGGTTGCAGCTGCGCCAGGACCATAGCCGCCATCGTTTATTCGAAGCCCTGTCTCTGCTCCGCAAACAAATCCCTCAGTTGGGCGTAGGTAATTGGATCTTCAGCGATGCTGGTGTCCTCGGCAGAAGGGGAAAATTCGCCAGACCGGGCTTGTTGTCGTGTGGAGGGCATTTTTTTCCGCAAATCCCACTTCTGACACCGAAATGTTACAGATCGCCTCTTTCGCTGATGCCACTTCGTCCTTCTCCCGTTTACCACACTCTTTTTCTTCCTTTTCGTCCTGCTCGTTGTACCTAAATGTCATACTGCCACAATGTTCGCACGCAACGCCACTGACCAAGGAGCTTCTCTTTCGCCGCGTAATTTCAAGGATAACAGCGGACGGTTTCTTTCGGTCTCTCCTTCACCCCATTTGATGACGACGTCTTCAGGATCGCATTGTTGACACTGTCAGCAGTCCATCTCCGGGATTTTGTCACCACACTTTGCAATCCTCGTGGTTACGATATTTAAATGCGGCTCCAAAAGTGCACACGAGAACTGCGCGAGCATTTAGTTTTGGTTCTTGACAATCATTGTATTAACAGCATTCGGGTTGTAGCTCGTGCCCAATTGCTACAATAACGGGAACAGCCGAACATTAACATTTTGTTGACCTCAGTGCGTTCCCTATGTCACGCAAACTCCAGCGCCTGGTGATACACATTTTCGGCATATGATCTGCTCCAGGTCAAGTAGCCACTTTCCCATATTCCGAGTTGAGAGTTTGAACGCTGCTAAGTATTCTCGACTTTTTTATGCGACTGCCATTGCGTGGATATAAAAAAAAAACTCCCGCGTATTTCATGGCTTATTAATGTGAATAATTAATTCTATACAACATTTATTAAACGTACAAAAATTATTTCATCACCCCTCCATTTAGGCTTCGGGGCGGGATGCGCCGAAACTTGTAGAGGTTTCGGCGCATTCCGCTTCCTGGTGCTTTCCATTATTCATCAATAATATTTCCTAAATCATTTTTTAAACATAACAGTCATGTTTAAAAAAAAAGGCGTATCTTTAAACAAAAACTCGAGATCTAGTTTTTTTTTTTTTTTCGAATTCAGCATTTTTCTATATTATTGTTTCCCTTCAATTCAAATAAACGTATTAGCCACTGGAAAACAGGCTGACAGTAGGCAATCTCAGAGTGCAGTGTCGAATGTATTCCACAAAGGTTTAATGTAACTTATCCATTTTTCGTTAAAAAACAACCGCAGCTAGAGATTGCTGAACAAAAATATTGAGTATTCTGTTTTATAATTATTACGTTTCAGGTAAATACCCTTTGCGTGTAACTTTATAATTACCAATGAGGTACCACTAAAGAGCTGATCAACAACAATATTTTTTTAGTGAAGTTGATTTCTGCAGAGTTGCATAATCTCTAACATTATGGAATATCCATTTGTCGAGGCAGTTTATGCGGCGCTGCTGGGCATATTTTGGCCAGAGACACTTTGTGTTTATGGAGAGAACAAAGGTTAATTTATCTAGAACAAAGGTTAATTTATATCTTCACCCCAAGCGTTACGGCCCGACGAAACCGAAGCCTCCACAGTCACCTAAGACTGCATTGATGAACAGGTGTTCCATATACATAGAGTCTATACTTTTTTCAATAAGATTCACTTGAATCTGTATGAGTAAATAACATTTGAATCAGTGTTTTATAATCAAATTCAAATACTCAGTCCTCGCAAAGAAACAATATCTGGCCTTATGTGGAGTTGCAATAAACTCCTATTTAATTAAAATGGAAAACTTCACCCTCCCCAAAACCTTATTCCTTGATGAATAGCTTTCATTGGGCAGACGCACTTCTTCATTGTGGCGCGGCGCAAAATAAAAGCATCGCGGCCAGTGTGACATCATCTTTTTAAGGATGTAGCCTTGGGAAAGTCTCTCCAATGTATATTTTTACAAAAGAAAATTTAATATGCGTCTTTTCCAAACTGTTGTAACAAACACAGTCGGCTACCTGAGAGTTTGGGCGTCAGACCATTCAGCACAAAGTCGCTCTTTGTTATCTTCCTTGAGCCGGACACGGGAAGAAGTGTCTTCTTCAGTCCATATTTCTGAACTATTCCTTTGTCCAGTGAGACCTGAAAAATTGTATGCAATACGAAATCCAAGAAAAGTAATTAACATCTATCACAGGCTGTTTCTTGCACATTCTGACATAATATCAAGATATTTTTAGATTGCCCAATAAATAGAGATATGAGGAGCTAGTAGCAGATAATACAAATACACAGTAGGTGTACAGCGTGAGAGATAACTGCAAGAAATTACAGAAATGTACCCAATACGGTCTGCTTTAAATTCTAGTCTAAAATATACAGATACAAAAAAAAATGGTTCGATTTCAAGTTGGACATAAATGTGGAAGTTTTTGGATTTGACAAAAAATATATATTATAGTCCCATTCCCGCAATGAACAATAGCTACACGTTGAAAGTTAATAAAAACAGCTTGATTTTTGCACCCAATTCTCTCAGTTGTAATGAAAAAGTAAAAACGAAAACTATTTTTTTTTTGTGTGTGTAAATGTATAATACATGGCCTTTTTTCCCCTTTTACACTCAGCTGGTTCGGCATATTTTATGCCCAAAATAATAAAACTCCAAATATCGCTCTTTTCACGGTTTGGCGACAGATTTGGAACCTTCTATTTTAAGATTCATCTCATATTTTGCTTACTAAGAACTATACGCTTGTAGGCCAGTACATTCACTATCGACTTTAGGATAATAAAGCTTGGGCTTGGGTTTGGGCTAGTTTGTTGTACATAACTAAATGTGCTGCGAAGCGAAGTTCTACAGAACATACGCGTGACCAGAAAATAAAAGGAAGACAATGAGTTACATGGAGACGAGGTTGGTTGGTTGGTAAAAACTTTATTGAGTTGGTAAAAACTTTATTGTGGAGACGAGGAGAAACACCACGTCCATGCATAAAATTTCACATTCGTAAGTTTAAAAAAAAAACACGAAAACCTGAGAAATAATGAAAAATGTCATCATGACGATGCGTGGACTTTCGATGTTTGTGGTGTTGTTTCCTATTCTGATATACGTTTGGTAAACAGAAATACATGCAGAGGGCATTGCGAATGTTTTGTATTTTGATTAGCACCACTAATCTGCACTGCGCATGCTTCGTATTTTGATTTGCGCCCCTACTCCGGCGTGGTGTCAGCAGTAAAATTTATTGCTGTTTACGCGTGGTTTGCCCGTTACTCTGGTTGCGCGGGGTCTGTTCAACAAGGGCAGGGACCGGTTCGCCGTCAAACGAGGGAAACATTTGGACACTAATTTCGAGAAGCAATTGCTGTTAAGTTAAAGTATGAAGTAAAAAAACGTACTTTTTAATTTTATGCAATAAAACTTGGTGATGGGCGTTTTCTAGTTTTTCTAAATTTTTCGTGTCATAAAAAAGTAACTGAAAGGTAACGTCGTTACTTTCACAAGTAGCTGTAACTGTAACGAGTTACTATTTTGTTGCGGTATCTGTAACGGTAACTTCGCAACTTTTTTCTGAAAGTAACTGTAACTTTAACTAATTTTTTAAAAGTAACTTACCCAAGACTGCTAGCGACGTCGTCGACTAAAAAGATCACGTGGCGAGCGATAGTCGCCGCTAGGTGAGCGCTTGGTATTCACCGGCCGTGTGTAGGGCCTAGTCGCCCCGCGCGACTAAGAAATTGACTAATAAATCTTATTCATGGGGTAGGGCTAGTTTAGCCGGTGTTTAGCGGGTGACTATACGGCTCAGCGCCATGGCCGACTCGTATTGCCCCTGACCGCCAGCGCTAACGAAGCACTTACTGTCTCGGAACGCTGGGGGACACATGTATAAAGAATTGGAGGAGCAAATATTGTGTAAATTTCCATGTTCCATGGCCAGAGATACCGCAAAAGCGATCTCAACAGGGCGCTGGACGGCGAGAAAAACGCATTTACGGGCGCTTCCGTATTTGTTTATGTCGCTGGCAATGCGGCTTCCGTATTTCTTTCTTGTGTTTCTTTTAATTTTTCCTTGTAAACCTCTGTCTCGGCCAATTAGTCTCTCATTGTAACTTTTTTCTTCCTGATCAACATTTAAATATTAATTTTTATACGGTAAAATACCCATTTACGCAGCGGCGTTTAAGTTCGCGTGCGCGTGACATATATCGTTTTATGTCCCTTCCGCTTCTTAGTTCTGACTCCCGCTCGCTTCGCGCTCGTGAATACCGCAGAGAGAGGCGGACACCAGCACGAACTTCAAGGTCCCTTCTTGCACCACAGAAACCGAACGCAGATCAGAACAGGAAACAACACCACAAACATCGAAAGTCCACGCATCTTCATGATGACATTTTTTTATTATTTCTCAGATTTTCGTTTTTTCCGAACTCACGCATGACAAAACTCATGCATGGAAGAGAAGAGAGAAAAAAACAATAAACAGTTAGTCTGCGCCCATTCCTGTACGGTGTGTTTCGCCTCACCTCCATGTAGCTCATTGTTTTGCTTTCATTTTCTGGTCACACGCATGTTCTGTAGAATTTCGCACCGCACCACATTTAGTTATAGGCTTTAGTATAATTAAGATTCACTAAATTATTTAGATACAGTTTTAAATTTCGTCAAAAATTTAATTTAGCAAATTTAATTTAGTAAAATGCAGAGCCCTTTTACTTCACGTAAGGATGGGGGACCAGCGAAGCTGTCATCTTTAGGACGTCTAGGAAGATGCCTAGAGGACGACATCTAGGACGACCTCAAGGACGACGCCAAGTGGACGCCGTCTAGGACGACCTCAAGGGTGACTTTTAGGACGACCTTGAGGACGACGCCTAGTGGACGACGCTTAGGACGGCCTCAAAGACGACCCCAAGGACGACGTCTAGGACGACCTCACGGATGACTTCTAGGACGACCTCAAGGACGACTTTTCGGACGACCGCAAGGACGACCTCAAGGATGACTTTAAGGACGACCACTAGGACGACCTCAAGGACGACGTCTAGAACGACCTCAGGGACGACTTCTCGGACGACCGCAAGGACAACCTCAAGGATGACTTTAAGGACGACCATAGGACGACCTCAAGGACGACGTCTAGAACGACCTCAGGGACGACTTCTCGGACGACCGCAAGGACGACCTCAAGGATGACTTTAAGGACGACCACTAGGACGACCTCAAGGACGACGTCTAGAACGACCTCAGGGACGACTTTTCGGACGACCGCAAGGACGACCTCAAGGATGACTTTAAGGACGACCACTAGGACGACCTCAAGGACGACGTCTAGAACGACCTCAGGGACGACTTTTCGGACGACCGCAAGGACAACCTCAAGGATGACTTTAAGGACGACCACTAGGACGACCTCAAGGACGACGTCTAGAACGACCTCAGGGACGACTTCTCGGACGACCGCAAGGACAACCTCAAGGATGACTTTAAGGACGACCACTAGGACGACCTCAAGGACGACGTCTAGAACGACCTCATGGACGACTTCTCGGACGACCGCAAGGACGACCTCAAGGATGACTTTAAGGACGACCACTAGGACGACCTCAAGGACGACGTCTAGAACGACCTCAGGGACGACTTCTCGGACGACCGCAAGGACGACCTCAAGGATGACTTTAAGGACGACCACTAGAACGACCTCAAGGACGACGTCTAGAACGACCTCAGGGACGACTTCTCGGACGACCGCAAGGACGACCTCAAGGATGACTTTAAGGACGACCACTAGGACGACCTCAAGGACGACCGCAAGGACGACCTCAAGGATGACTTTAAGGACGACCATTAGGACGACCTCAAGGACAACGTCTAGAACGACCTCAGGGACGACTTTTCGGACGACCGCAAGGACGACCTCAAGGATGACTTTAAGGACGACCACTAGGACGACCTCAAGGACGACGTCTAGAACGACCTCAGGAACGACTTTTCGGACGACCGCAAGGACGACCTCAAGGATGACTTTAAGGACGACCACTAGGACGACTTCAAGGACGACGTCTAGAACGACCTCAGGGACGACTTCTCGGACGACCGCAAGGACGACCTCAAGGATGACTTTAAGGACGACCACTAGGACGACCTCAAGGACGACGTCTAGAACGACCTCAGGGACGACTTCTCGGACGACCGCAAGGACGATCTCAAGGATGACTTTAAGGACGACCACTAGGACGACCTCAAGGACGACGTCTAGAACGACCTCAGGGACGACTTTTCGGACGACCGCAAGGACGACCTCAAGGATGACTTTAAGGACGACCACTAGGACGACCTCAAGGACGACGTCTAGAACAACCTCAGGGACGACTTCTCGGACGACCGCAAGGACGACCTCAAGGATGACTTTAAGGACGACCACTAGGACGACCTCAAGGACGACGTCTAGAACGACCTCAGGGACGACTTTTCGGACGACCACAAGGACGACCTCAAGGATGACTTTAAGGACGACCACTAGGACGACCTCAAGGACGACGTCTAGAACGACCTCAGGGACGACTTTTCGGACGACCGCAAGGACGACCTCAAGGATGACTTTAAGGACGACCACTAGTACGACCTCTAGGACGACGTCTAGAACGACCTCAGGGACGACTTTTCGGACGACCGCAAGGACGACCTCAAGGATGACTTTAAGGACGACCACTAGTACGACCTCAAGGACGACGTCTAGAACGACCTCAGGGACGACTTTTCGGACGACCGCAAGGACGACCTCAAGGATGACTTTAAGGACGACCACTAGGACGACCTCAAGGACGACGTCTAGAACGACCTCAGGGACGACTTCTCGGACGACCGCAAGGACGACCTCAAGGATGACTTTAAGGACGACCACTAGGACGACCTCAAGGACGACGTCTAGAACGACCTCAGGGACGACATCTCGGACGACCGCAAGGACGACCTCAAGGATGACTTTAAGGACGACCACTAGGACGACCTCAAGGACGACGTCTAGAACGACCTCAGGGACGACTTCTCGGACGACCGCAAGGACGACCTCAAGGATGACTTTAAGGACGACCACTAGGACTACCTCAAGGACGACGTCTAGAACGACCTCAGG